GATAAAATATGACATGAATAATGTGATATAAAAAGAAAGAAGAATAGCGAATAATACGCGAATAATTTTATTCCACTACAACAAAATAAAAATTTATTTCTTTTTGTTTATATGCTAATTGCGTCTTATATAGAAATGTGATGCAAATAATTCAGAGAAAATAATAGAAATTATTCATTTATTATATGTAATTATTGCAGATATTATCTACGAGTCACATTGTTGTCTCGGGAAGTCTGAAACGTTTTACTATTCAATCATCCACAACAACAAACAAGATATGCGTGAGACCTGGCATTTACGATTCATACGCTGGTACTGTCTATAGCAAGATAAATTTAACCCTCAATAGCGTAAATGAGATCTTCGATCCTATACCCATATCCGGCAATCTCACGTCAACCGGAAACTTAGTGTATACGTATAATAATCCATTCTCTGATGTCGAACAGCGCAAACTACATCGTCCAAGTCAAGATACTTCGTCAGTACAGTCGCCCGAAAGTCATAGTTCTGAAAGTTCTAAGCGGGAAACACATAGCGACAATGATGATATGTTTAATAGCGAGGAACGCTACTATTTACAACCTAAACCGAGATTGGATGAAGTTCCAGATAATCCATTTCTGCCATATTTCGTTGGATACAAAGGCAAGAGTATCCAGAAGTCGGAGAAAAATAACACAAAGAAAGTGGTTAGTCTGCTTATAGACATTGGAATGGAACTTCAGCATGTTTATGCACGTTTCAAGGACCGACCTCTTGAGATATTAGACAAATTCGCACTTCTGGTGAGATTGACTTGCACCATGAACAGCAATCAAATTGCTGAAGTGGAAAATTTGCTGTTTGCATATATTGATGAGATCAAGCCTTACAAACGTTTCTTCATCGCAAGCATCGTTAATCCGATCATCATGAACCAGACCACCAGGAATATTTTTCGCGACGTTGTCGCTCAGGCCGGAACTGGACCGGCTCTCATAACTATCATAAATTGGATAAAAAACAAGAAACTTGAAGGCATAGAGGCGGCACGAATTATTTCAAAAATTCCCAAAACCGCACGCGTGCCTACAGCAGAATATATTGATGCGTTTTTTGTAAGTCTTTATCTGTTTACAATAAAATGGAGAATAAAAACATTTCCAATTTCTATCATTTATCCAAAATTTTTCTATCAGCAATTATTAATTATACTTTTGCATATAAAGATTAATTTTGATGCTCATATAATTTAATTTTTTTTACAGGAATTAATTACTGAACCAATAGTGACAAAACAAGAATTTTTGAATGTATCTGCGCCTTTGGCATTCGCCGAATTGATATATTATTCCCGAGTCAAGGATACCAGCATCCCGAATCGCTATCCGATACACAGCTTCGACCGCATAAACTCGAAACATGATCATGCCGTGCTAGAAATTTATATCCCTTACATGGCCAATCAACTGAGGGAAGCCATCAAGGAAGGCGACAGTCTTCGAATACAGACATACATTGCAGCACTGGGTAATTTTGGTCATCGCAAAATACTTTCGATCTTCGAACCGTATTTGGAAGGTAAACAGCCAGTGTCGAAGTTTCAACGTTTGATGATGGTCGGCGCGTTAGCGAAAGTAGCCGAAACGAATCCGGAACTCGCCCAATCCGTTCTCTACAAAATCTATCTAAACACAATGGACGCTCATGAAGTGCGTTGCATGGCAGTCTATCTCTTAATGATAACGAATCCGCCACTGGCCATGTTGCAGCGAATGGCAAAGTTCACTAATTATGATGAGAGTAAGCATGTAAATTCTGTCGTCAAGAATGTTATAGAAAATCTCGCTAAGTTGAAACAACCGGAATGGCAAGAACTCGTTAACAAAGCGCGCATCGCCAAGGAACTACTGACTCCTCATAAATACGGCTTAAAGTATTCTAAAAGCGTCATTAAGAACTGGTCCTTTGCCTCCTTGGACACCGTTTATAAATTTATTATAAATACAATAAGTGGCGACGACAGTGATATACCTAAAGCCGCATATTATGGTGCGGATATATCTTACGGCGGTTTTAATCTGCCCACCATGGAAAATGGATATGTAATATCAAGCATCAGACAATTCTTCAATATGTGGGATCAAACGGAGCAAAAAGAAAAAAAAGACAGAGCCAGAGGAAGATTGACCGTTGAAACAATCGCACAGATGCTTAACATAAAACCTGAAAATCTGGAACAGTTGGAAGGAAATATCTTTCTTAACACCATGTTTGGTATGCAATTCTATCCGTTCGACAATCACACCATTGAAAAAATCACCGACAGTAAGTATTTTTCAATTTATTTCATAAAGCATTGATTTCTCAAATCTTGTTACTATATAAATAATTATTTGTTACAGTACTAAAGATGTACTTTGTGCCGTCTGCGAAGCTCAAATCATTTGAATTCGGGGATAAAACTCTTGTAAATAGCTACGACATTACGCTGGAACTGCCGACTGAAAGCGGCCTGCCGTTTGTGTACACTTTAAAGATGTCAGAATTAGTAAGAGTTAGCGGCAAAGGAACGCTCGACATCAAACGCTCTAAGGGTTTTGCCATAGAAGCAAATGTAGAAAGAAGCAATATAGTAATAATTGACAAGATTGAGAGCAGGATTGGTTTTATAACGCCTTTTGAGCATCGTCATTACATCGCCGGTATCGAAGGCAATATGCAACTGTCCCTATCAAAAAGTTTTCGTGTCGGATGGGATTCTGTGAAGAAGAATTTCCAGTTGGAGCTCTATCCTAATAAAGTGGTCGATCACTTTTTGTTTCATTATAGCATTATTCCTTACATCACAAAATACGAAATTTTAGATTTTGAATCTGTAGTTACGAACAACAAGCACTTAGTGCATACGAAAAAACCGCACGAAATAAAACTCGCTATAAGCGATGGAATCACCATAAAAGCAAAAAGCGATAATTTCGATAGAAATGCTTCGGAAGAAAAGATTTTTGAAGTTTACCAACAGATGGCTAAATTTTGGAGCGGATATGACTCTTGCTATAAGATGTTCGACATATCTTCCGAGAATTGGACGGGTAAAATAAACGCCACTTACGATATCGTGGAAATCGATACTAATAACTCGGATTATCAGCAATCGTGGCCATCAGAAGTAATCGTTCCCTCAACAATGGACAAAAAACCAAACAGTGAAATCAGAAGAAAACAATTTTTGAACGAAGTCAGCAAAGGTATCAATTCTGCCACTGCTTACATTCTTGATATCGAACTCGATCTCCCGTTACCGATTCGCCAAGCTCTCACTTTCGGAATAGCAAGTAGCAACGTTGACGAAAAAGCTCAAGCTCTTTTTTACTGGAATCTTCAATCGCGGAAAGAAATAGATATAAATCTTTATGTGGAGGCATGCGCCGCGGGACAGATGCGATCTTCGCAAAATATTCTTTTGAATTTTGAGAAAGCTATCGAACAGGTGCCAAAGAATGAGATTGACGTTGATTTGCGATTTGGAAACAGTTATATGGACGGAGAAAGAATTAGATTCAAAGGATACCTGTCGCGAAGTGATGATCAGAAGAAGATTATAAGAGATTCCAAAATAGCCGAGAAATGTCTACGAGAGATGAGATTAGATAACAAAGGGCTGCGAGCTTGCCAAAGAGTCACCACACTCGCGCGGTGGAAGGATCATTTAACGGTATCAATGAACGTCGAATCTGACTTTTTCAATTTTATTGTTACTAAGAGTATTCAATTCTTCATCGAAAACATTATTTCTGACAAACGAGTAAATACGATAAAACCGAGAAACAATATAAATGGTAGCATGGAGGCGGAAATAAAAATACCGCTTGATATCAAGAAGACGGAGATATCATTGTATACTCCGGATAGAGATATTATGTTTTCTCCGTACAATCTTTTAACACTATCATCAATTGATGAAAATAAAAATATCTTACTGGAAAAAGAAGAAGAAGAAGAAAGTATAGGTGAGCTACAGTAGTGAACAATAGATGCATTTAGTAACAATGTTGGAAAAAAAGAAAAATTTAATATATTAATATTATATACGTTTGCAAAAATATTTCATAACACCATAAGATATATGATAATATAATTATCATATTCAAATTTTTAGAATTACATATGGTTTTTAGATAATTAAGTTTAACAAAATTGATGGCAAATAAGAGACAATACGCAATGAGCGAGATCTTATAAAATTCTATTCTAAATTACTATCGACTGCGAATCCTAAAGTTTCATTTCTTTCTAATTTAATTTCTTGCAACTGTAGATGTGCAACATCTAATTTTTTAATACTTTTTATTTTGTTTGCAGCTTCGTGCACTCTCGACAAAACGCAAGCTGTTACCTTTGATGATAAAGTTTATCCTTTGAAACTAGAGCACTGTCCATACGTAATGATGACTACTTATTCGCAAGAGAATTTCAATAAATCTTTGATTATTCCGGAAGAAAAAAGCGTGGCTGTCATGGTTAACGAAATGGATGACGGCAGCAAGAAGATCAATATGATTTTGGGTGGCAATGAAATTCTACTGGAAAAATCGCTCGATTATCTCAAAGCTACAGTTAACGAACATAATGTTCAGTTCTCGCGATACACAAGCTACCAACACAAACACAAGAACAAAACTGCCATCGAAATTTTCGAACTACCTGATGGTTCGATCAGGCTCATCTCAAACAAATATGGAGTCAATGCCGTATATGATGGCGAACGTATTCGACTTGAGGTAAGTAAAAAAATTATAACTGAACATCAGTTGTTAACATTGCCTTATGTTTTCGAATGCCAAAATGTAAAACATTATTAGTGCTTAATGTAACATTGCATAGATTGACTGTAGCAGCGCATGAAATATAAATCGAAATAAATCTGTTATCAGGTATCCGATAAATATCGCAATACCATCCGCGGTCTCTGCGGTAATTATGACGCGCAGCCAAACAACGATTTCATTACTCCGGGAAATTGCATCTTGAAAGAGTATGAAGAATTTAGCGCCATGTACGCTATGACTAAATTTTGTCCAGAATCTATCACGAAGAAGATATCAATAGCCAAACAATCCACATGCATTCGGATGTTGCATCGCCAGAGCAACGTTATTAATAGCAGAGAAGTGAACAAATTTAAGATCAAGAATAAAAGAGATTTTTCTGACGGATCGTAAGTATGTGTGCAAAAGTGCAAGCGGCACGATCGTGCTTCTTCTGTTTTATTTCGTAAAGTGCTAGCAAATGCTCCTCAGTAGATCTATTAATTCTTAGAAATTAGTAATTGAAAGTCAAACTAATCGTTGAACACACTATATAAAAAATGAAGAATATAATGAAATGTATAACGGCATGTGCGTCTTTTTTTTATAATATAGCTTTCTTAATAATAAAGTGTTAAATAATAGACAAACAAAAAATTTTTAATAAAAAATAAAAGAAGCACGATCGCGCGGCTTAACACTTTTTAAAATTAATCTATATGTTAGGCCATTTATTTTAAAGCAATGAATCTATGGAATGTATTATTGTATTCATAATAATTTTATATGTTCTTAATTTGAAATTTTTTATCTTTACAATCCGAGAGTATAATTTTCATAGATCCATTACTTCAGATTAAAAGATAAATAATTGACTCACCGACACACAATGCGTAACAGCGGAGTCCGGTGTAAAATCCGGTTGATCAGTCAGATTGATCTGCAAAATATAAAATTATATACAGATTATAACAGCGTACAAATTAATTAAAAATTAAAAAATAATTATAGTAACTTTTACTTGTCTGTTAAGCAAGTATTTGATAAAATTATTACGTAATTACATAAAATATAAATTATAGAAAAAAATCTCATTTTATATAAATATATCTGAAATAGTTAGAAATATATTAAAAATATTTGCGTGAAATAATTTCGGAAATAAATAATTAATACATATCCTGCAAATAACAAATGGATAAACTCGTCCCTCACCTTAAAGTTATTCCGTCAATGCCTAATACCTTCTGAATCTCCTCTTCATCTCAGACCATCATTAGCTGATATCATTAACCATTATCAACGCAAACTTTGTCAAATTATGATAAAGGAAAAACACAAAATCGGAATTATGATCTAACTACACTCGAGATATCCAAAGCAAACAAACAAGCGGTAGAAAGAAATTAGAAATTGCGCGTTTGATTTCTCGTGCTATCTCTGCCGCAGTTATACTAAACTTAAACTACTTTCGTACGCTTCCGCATTTTTCGGATATAAAAAATAAAATATATCTGCGTTTTTAAATGTTTAATAAATAATTAATTACACAATTTAAGAATTAAAAATTATTTGCCGAAAATAATATTCTAATATTTATCACAATCGCGATTTGTGTGTGTGTGTGTGTGTGTGTGTGTGTGAATAACAGTAAGATAATAATACGTAAATAGCGACGTGCGTGCACTTTGATGTAAGTAACAGAAAATCATTGAGTTGCGCGTTAAAGTATTTCGATGTTAGCTCAAGATTTCGATGGTTATTTAAATTTTCTTTTTATGGTTTAAGATGTGTATATAACGTAACATAACGTACGCACATTATGAGCTCCGGTGGAGCATTTTTGAAAATTGTATAATTTTATATTCAGAATTGAGTAAATTTTAAGTATTTACTTAATTTAACGAATGTTTTTTGTTGTTATTAATGATTATAAAATTATATATTTTTATAATATGTCTGTAATTGTGTGTGTGTGTGTGTTAGAATAAAAAGTTATATCCACATAAATTTATAATAGAATCAAAAGTGAATCTTGTTAATAGATATGTAATTATTATTCTTGTTTAAATTTCTTTGTCCCAATGCAAATTTTCAGAAGATAAGATTGTGAATTGGGCAATTCAAATGAAGGCGATCCAATTGACAGTCCATCTTGTTAATGGTTTCATATAATTTATTCAATTGCATATGTTCAAAAGTTTGATGCAAGCATCTTCCGACAAATTTATGCTTTTGATAGCCTAAGAGCTCCTTTTTGCTAATGTTCTTATTTTTCTGTTTGAGAAACTTTTGCTCTATATAGAAAAAGACAAAATTTTATCATTATTTCTTTTTATCATCTCATCAAAACAATAAAGTGTGCGTCATTTATGATTAAGATTAAAATAATGAGATTATTCTACTATACAAATTAGCACATAATCGGGATTTAATACATTAATCAGGTATATGTACTTTTGAAAATGGATACATTCTCAGCTTCCAAATTCTTTTCAAATTCCCGAATCTCTTTCTCACATTTTTCAAAATAAGTACCACGAAAGATTAAAGAAGGTTTACGGTCAATTCGACAGTCTTTGCAAACATATTTTACTTTCGAATTATACTGGTCATATTCAAGACACTTCAACATTTCTTCGATATACGTAAAACGAGTTTTGTCAATTTTCGTGATGACGCCTGGACGACACTTGGTTCTCAGCAGATGATGCAACTTTTAGGATACATTATAAACAACGTTTAAATATTAAATATTGTAATAAATTGTACTTGGTGCAAACCGCAAATATCTAAAATTTATTCTTATTACTTTAAATAAGATGAATAAAATCCAGAGCATTGCTTCTTGTTCGGTCACGTTTTCCACGTGTTCGAGTGCTCCCTGTCTAAATCTATAAACAGAGCAGACTAATATTGTAAATAATGGATATACCAACATGCCAACATACTTCTTCATGTTTTCCAAAGTTTCATCATTCTTTATATATACATCTTTCAACCATCGCCGTAATTGTAAGAAGTTTATTTGTGTTTTTCTTATCCAATAACCTCTCCAAACGGCTTGGATCCTCGTCGCCATACTATTATAATGATCTTGCAACATTTGCTGAGCACGTTCGACTAAATATCGATTAACCAACATCCTGGCGTGATAACCCCGCCAATAACGTTGCACTATCGTTGCGTATTCATGCAGTTTGCGGAGGTAATTCCGAGTGAGGATACCGCGAAACCACGCCTAGATGTTCGAAACTTCAAATAACCTTATATTCGCTTAAATGTACGTATACTTATTAGCACGTATTGACTGTTTCAATCAGATTATAATTAACCTGAATTTTACGTGCAGCGATGAAATATAAGTGTCTCGATAATTCAGCCAAATCGCGTCTAATTTGAATTGCATTTTGCAGTTCGACAGGATTAACCGTAAACCTTAATAACGATGCCATGCTTAATTTATCTACTCGTTTAGAAATCACTATTTGATAATTATACAGGCCATATTTCACTCTATGGCATGTGAACATTTGTAACCAATGTGAATATAGTACAATTAGCGTTATAATTAGTGTCCATAAAATCGCAAAGGTTCTCTTCATAGTTTTTGCGAGATTTACTCTAACAGATATTAAATCCTAGCACGAGTTCTAAGAAGAAAAATGCATTATATTTGACAAGATTAAAAAATTTCGCACACGTGTTCAAAATTGTTGCCGCATTTTTGGGGGGTTATTTTCATAAAAATTTGGTACACTTTAAAGCACTAAAATCTTTTCAAAAAAGTCGATTACAAGATTCCCATGTACATCAGCACCGCGAAGAGCGAGATCGGTATAAACATCAAAAGCGCCGCACCAGTTGCTACTGCGACATTCTTCTTTTTTCGCGAAGTCCTCGACGCTACGTGGAAGTCCTTCGACTGTCACAAAAATATTCGCAAATGTTATGCATTGCATCGAACGGTGATTGCCATAACCTTCTCGCGATAAGTAAGTCGTGACCCTTTTAATCGACATACAAGATTACGACAATAAAGTTCTTCGTGCCATCGCTGCAGCCACCTATAAGTAGAGCTGCACACGGCGACTGCGTTACACCGTCGCAATTATTTAGCGCGATGGTCTCCAATTATGGAGACCATCAACTCATGCACGCATCGAGTGAATTCTATCAGTAATTTTATTGAGAATTCGCGTGAATGGTTGAGGCAAATCAGCAGTTTTTAATTAACTCGAGTATTAATGGAAAATGTTGCGCCGCGCGATTGTTACGCTTTACGCGCTTGATTGATATTTCATGTTTATGAAGCCGCTGATCGATAGCCAGCAGAGAGCGAAATGAAAATATGCGCAAGTTGATTTACCGAAATTTCGAGACTTTGTGTTTTTTGTACGAGTTCGTCCATCCTCTGGCCTCTGTCAATTAGTTTTTGGACCGCTTCCATCAATATGTGACGTACTTCAGTCAATTCTTCCTCTAATTTCGGAATGGTATTCTTAGGATCATCCGGATTGTTATGCTCTTCCTGAAATAATCTCGATTACGGTTTTCTGGATTTTTTTTCTATTTTCATCGTTGTGCATTTATATCAATACTAAAATCTCAAAAAAATGAGATTTGTTAGCTAGAGAGCTTTCGTACTATTTTCTTCTCTATTTTTTATCACTTACAATCATTTTTTTCAACGGCTTCGAAAGATCACCTACTGTGAGATGAGCCAAATCTCTCGAAAGATCCGCCAATATCGGCAATTCTCTATAAATTTTTTGTAGCCTTTGCAAAAATATTTGAGAATGAGATTCTAGCCGAATCATCGACGAAGGGCAGTCCGGTTTCGATGTCAAGCATGCATAGTGAAGTTCCCCGATTAGCACATGCATCATATATCTATGAAAGAAGTGGATTTTATGCTCATTGTAGCGTAAATAGCAATAATATAATGCAGCGGATTTATCTTATCGCGTGTTGATTAATCCATCGCGGCTTATTACACTCGCTTAAAGATTCTGGCGAGTGCCACAACAAAAAACACTGCTGATGCTTGTAAAAACATATCTCGCGATTTAACACTTCTCTAAATGAAAAACAAATTTGGTATGTAAAATCCAGAATTTCGTTCCAGCAACTATGTACTAGGTGCGCAATTAAGTTTCCACGTTTTTATTTGTCCTTGTCAAAATCACGTATCACATATGTATGTAACCGCATGTAAAGCACATTTCGTACACGTGATCGAGATTACGAGTCTTTGCGAGTAGAGGATCTTACTTGCCCTGATCGACGCTGATTTTGTCTATCCTCTAGTGTCTTGAGCCGTTGAGAGTGCTGAGAGCGATAGCCCGGTAATTTGGATCCTGATTCACGGGATAATCAGCGACGATCTTGCAGCCGGACTTCTCCCAGTAGGCTATTAGAGCGTAATGGACGATCCCGTTCATTTCAATCGAAAAATGAAGCAGTTTCATCCAGGTTGGACGACAGATCGACTGACTATATCGCGCTCACAGACGCGAAAGACAGCAAACGTCGACGGCTGTTTGTGCCAGTTCAACTTCTACATAGCCCAACGCGTAATGAAAGAAGGTTTGATAAAGTCGATAATAACATGGTGTTATCGTGTCACTTTGTATACCGCACGAACATCGACTGTCAACGCGTGCTGCTTTAAGAGGCGAACCGTCTGATCCACCACTATTTACCAAACTGCCGAATTTTCACTGATACCGAGAAATCTGACTGGCACCTGATTAGGCAGGTCCATATCACAGAGACACGTTTCAATCGACTAAGTATCAAAGGTCAGAAACGAGATAATCCTTATTTTGTGTGAGATTTCGCACGGAATTTTTATTTATTTATAAAACAATTTTAATTGTTCTAAAATACTTGTGTGCAAGAGCATTATTATATGTCCATAGCAGGTTTATAAATAAGAAGCATGTATTTGGTATATTTTGTTGTACATAGCACAATCTCTACTTCGTTACTTTTCCTTGATTATTTCTTGTAAATAGTTGTTATTACATAACACTGATAATAACGGTAAATATTTAAATATTTTGAACTTTATGAGGAAAGAGCGTGAATCTAATCGCAACCGCTGACTCTTAATCATTAATCGGTTCTCTGCACATTTTTTCGCAGCCGGTGTTAAATTTTACTTTTTATTCTTGCGTTTGTGTGTCTATATATATATATCAGCTCTCATCAGTACTCGTTGAAAAAAACGCAAAGTCTAAGATAATTGTCTTCCTATCGTTGACAAGCAGTTGATGTCAATTTCAGACAATGTCTCATTAGTGAAAATTTCTTTTCATGTGTTAACTGTTCAATACTTGATGTTTCAACATTCATCAATGTTAACTTGTCTATGTTTTTAATTTTCAAATTTTAATTTAATATTTCTATGTTTCAGATTGTAATTTAATTGTAATTTCTATTTTTTACATTTTAATTTATGTTTATTTTTCACATTTATTTCTGTGTTTCAGATTTCAATTTAACGTTTTTATACTTATTCGTTTTGTACTTACACGTTTTTACGCACTTATATATTTTATGTATCTATGTATCTTTTATATATCTATATTTAATGTTCTTTTATGAACTATTTAATGTTCTTTTAAGAACAATTTAATTTTGCAGATATAAATATTAGAAGAGAAAACAGAGATAAAGATTAACGAATTCAATTTACTCTTTTATATTCTCTGCTATAGTTTTCATATTTATATCTATGTACTTACCATTTCCTCTGCTTTCTTCAATATTAAAGATGTCCAATTATCCTGATTCCACTTCATATAAACCTGAAACATAAGATATACAAAATTTATAATTTAATGTTTATTAAGTATGTATGTACATTCTTTTATTTTTCCTCCTTTTCTCCTCTCTTAAGTAAAATATTCTGGTTTTTTATATCCTATTTATATTCATTGTTAAATATTATTTAAATTTATACAGCAATTTAGAGTTATTCAAAATGCATATGTAATAAGCGTAAAATGACAGTGAATATTTTACACGACATGTTTCCACTAAATTATATAAAAAAAGATAACGATTATGAATTGCATTTCTTGCGTTAATTTAATTTTAATTTTTTTTAGCCTATCTATGTTTATCAATTTCGTAAGAAATGCCGTACAGATAAAGCATATTTTTGATTCACAATTTGTAAATGTAACACAGATATCACGGAACATCGAATGCAGCAGTTTAAATTAACAAAGTTTACCAGAATTACTGAAAATTCAATATAATTATATATTTCCAATTGTGAAATAAATAAAAATAGCAATACTGAATAAAAGTCAATAAGAGTCTCAAAGGAAATATCGGAATGCCCGCTCTCAGGCTTCTTTCTTTCTTTCTGTTAATTTTGATTAAATGATGATTAATAAGTATTGATTTGTAGTATCGACATGTATGCACATGCAAAATGAAACGACGAGATACGACGTTCTGTTTGATTTTCCAAGAATATTGATTTGCAATTATAAAATTGAAAGTTTCTTCAAATAAAATTCCACGAAGAGAATGAAAAATACATTTATATCCGTACAATAATTTTAAATCTTATTAATTTAACAACCTCATTAATTTGAAGAAAATTTTATATAAATATAATAAAAATTAATTATATTTTTATTATGTTTAATATTTGGAAATATAAGAGAATATTCTCGCACTAAAAAACTGAATTAATATTTTTGATTTAATAATCGTTTACTCTATTCTTTTTAGAAATTATATTTGGACATTTCGCGTTACATTCGGATCTTTACACGTGTAAATGGATATTTCGCAGGTTGCAAAAAGAACACTCGATAACGCTACTATATTGGGATATCTATTTGCACATATGGTGACCAATTAGATAGATTCGCGAATGAAATTTTACAACGTTCGTCAGCTTCACTCCAATCTCAATTTTTACATGAAAATAGTGATAAAAGAGGAGCTATATTTGTTTAAATATTATTTATAAAACAAATAACGATTATATACTATATCGCTCAAATGACAAATAATAACGCTGCAATCTCTCACTCTTAATAATTATTTTTGTCTAAATTCCAAAACACCTACCTTTTTCTAATAGTTCTATACTTTATATATGCGTGCTGTTTTTGTTTTCTTCTGTTTTTCAAAGTTTATAAAAAATGAAAACAAAGATCTAATTTGAGACGAGAGCGAAGCATCAATGAGCAAGGTTATGTAAAAACCAAATAATTATCGACTCTATCGATGAGGAAAACTGGCATCAGTTTGCATCGGAATGCACAATTGATGGCGCCACTGTCAGTTTGTTACATAGCTCGTTGACTTGCCGGCGGGCGCGGGTGAAGGTAGTTCGCGGCGGCGCGACTAATCGGTTCTCCTGAATGATCGCTGCGCGCGGACAGCTGCGCGACCGTCTCCCGTTTGCGGAGGAACAGTCAGTGTGCGCGCCGCGGAGTAGTTGAGAGACAGACATCTTGGTGATAAAGTTTAGCGGCGCGGTGTCTCAACCGTGGGTGTCGGTGTCACGGTTTCGTGTCGCGGTGCTTCGTGTCGTTACGGTCCTCTGGTCCGTTTCGTCGTGCTCGACGTCGTTTACGTCGTCGTCGTCGCCGCCGTTGTCGCCGTCGTCGCCGCCGCCGTCGCCGCTACCGTCGCCGCCGTCGCCGTCGTCGTCGGCGCTGTCGCGATCGTCACCGTCCTCGTTCTCAAAGTACTGTCCGTAATCGCGGTGCGGTGGTGTCGCGTTCGCGGGGAGATCCTCGCACGACTTGTCGTCGTCGTTGTTCCAGTCAACCGAATTGCCATCTGAATCGGCCATCGTCGCCATCGCCGTCATCGTCGTCGTCGTCGCCGTCGTCGCCGTCGTCGTTGTGTCGCCGCCGTCGTCGTCGTCGTCGTCGTCGTCGTTGTCGTCGTCGTCGTCATCATCGTCATCATCGACATCGACATCATCGTCATCGTGCGGTTCACGCGTGGTGTAGCAATCCCGAAGCGAGCGAGCTCGCGTGAGCCCGACGGGCATCTCTCGCGCCGCCGCGTCGATACTCGCGTGCACCCGCGAGTGCACGGTCGCGCTTACCCCCCAGGGTGCGAGGAGGGGACCGCCCTGAGAAGGTAACGAGGGAGTGGAGATCGCTCGAGAGTAGCAGCCGTCTCCCCTTTCCCCTTCCTAGTGTGTCGGTGGCTCCGTCAAAAACGCCCATGAACAGTTCCTAGGCACCGATGTGCCGCGCCGTGCGATAACTTCCGTCACCTCTCCGCCACCCTCCCTTCCCTCCCGTTCCCTCCCTGCCGTCCGCACGTCCGCTCTCTCCCTCCCGGCGGCGTATTTCCGTGCGCGCCGTGTGTACATGTGCGTGTGTGGCGGCCGCGCCGGGCTCTCGAGGTGAAAATACCGCCCTCTCCTTCTACCCAACCCCTCCGTATACGCGGAAGGTATACCGCTATCTCGCGCGAGTAAGCACGCGAAACAGGGAGGTGGACGAGAAAAAGAAGAAAGAGGAAGAAGAAAAGGAAAGCCAGCAGGACGAATAACACAGTGAGAGAAAGAAGAGCGAGAAAGCTGAAACGAGACGGTGCGGGCGGATTTGACACGGCGGAGCGCGGGCGCGAGCGAGAAGGACAGCGCGGGAGGCGATCTTGTCGCTGAGCGAAGGGAGAGGAGACAAGAGGAGCGAAATAGAGAGAGTGTGTGAGAGGCGCCCAGCCGTCATTTATCCCGATACAGCATGACCTCCAACAATTCGCAGAAGCTCCCCACGACGGACCGAGTGATCAAAAGTAAGCCAGCCGCAATAAGTAACGTCGCGCGAGCGCCGACAGCGAGCGATGATGATGCTCCGACGGACGCATGCTCTCACCCGGCCACGTGAATAACGTGCGACTCGTTCCGCGACGCGTGCGAGCGAGTGCTGCGGTGGGCGAATATGCATGCGTGCGGGCGTATGCGTAAATATGAGTGTGTGTATATCTCTGTGTGTGTATGTGTGTGCGGTTCGTGCGTGCGTGACCCCGCGGCTCCGTCTTCTCCGGTTGTCTCCGTCGGTAACATTGCCGTCGCTCGCCGCCTTCTCCCGTGTTTCTTTTTTTCCATTTTTTTTATTCCCGGAACCGCTTGCGTTGCCTTGCGACGCGACGGCGAGGTTTGGAACCGGCGTACTCCTGACGATATTTCTGATGGGTTTTATATTGCCGAAACGGGAAATTTCTGTATCTGATCTCTGTACCTGCATTCGGAGAAATGTTTTGCCGGTTTCAAGTCTCGTCGCGACGAGCTCATGCCGATACGTTCGGCGAGGAACGAAGTAGGCGCGTCAAAACACGCCGCGTGTTCGCACACGCGATTGATTTTCTGCCTGCCTGCTCGACAGCGCCATTGCTATCGACCTGGTCCGGCGATGCTTGCGTTCGGCAAGCGAGCTTCGCCGTTCTAAGCACAATAAAATCGTTGAATGATTTCTTCGTTCTTGCGAGAAAGATGGATTAACAAATCGTCTGTCGCGTTCGCGATTGGAAACCGAGTCACGCCTCCCAATCCGAATCCAGCGTTGCTGGTAACCTAACTTCGCAACCCTTGCTCGACGACCAACCACCCCCGCCATCTACCCCGGAGGTTTCGCCCCGGAGGTCGCGCCGCTCGGTTAGCCTCGTTTCCGCGGGGTCGAGGAACGCGATCGTCTCGAGGACGTGCGCGGTCCGCGCGCTCTCGCGAGGCCTCCTCTTCGCGCGCGATTCACTCGCTTCGAACAGCTGACGCGTCGTTATGGTACGCACTCCGCGTACACATACACATATAGCGCGGTTTAATGTGCGTGTGCCGCTGCAAAGACGCGGCACCGCCGTTAAAGAGGTGATGCTAAAACATCTTTGGAGTTGTGCATCTCAAAAGTTCGAATACAATTCGATACAGACAAAGGTACTTGTTGCATACTGCATGTAAACGCGATTGGTTTCTCGAAAATATTTGAGAGTCAGCGAAACGAATTTTATCCAGTCTACGCTACGGGAGAGATAGGGACCGGGAGGAGGGATATAGTAGTGTTCACTCGCAGAACAAACGCCGAAAATGCGACCGGTTTAGGACACACAGGTGTTACTTCGGATCGTTGACCTCTGCCGACTGGCGCTATCGTGTTTTCGCTCGGCGTTTTTCTTTTCTCTCTTCGTTTTTTTCATCCCCTTTTTTGCACGGTCTAATCGAATCGAATGCCGCATCTCCGCGTTCCGCTTCCGGCTTTTTACGAGCGCATAACGCTTCGATCGTCGATAGGCTTGTGTGTTGTACGTAAATGTAGGTCATGAAATTGACGAAATAAAAGCGCGCGCGCGGGCGAACGACTAAATATTTTAACACCGCCGGGGAAAATCTTTTCTGGCGTGGAGCACCGAACTTTACACAACTCGGCGCAGTATAAATATTGTCTAATCACCCGTTTGACTTGACGCTTTCAAACATAGTTGCGAGGATTTACATGATTTCTTTTTTACGCACGCGTTTATTTGCCGTGTCGCCGCTTTACGCGCAACCTTGTTTCGCGCGTAGTTCTGCTTCGAGTTTGTCTAAAATGTCGGCGGCTTAACCGAGATCGTAAAATTTAATAGCGTAATCCGATACTCGGAGCACCGGATAATCCGGCTCTAGTATATCGATTATGTAGTTAGAGATAGATATATATCAGAATACATTGCGGGAAGTTGCGTTGAACGCAACGAAACGAGGAGGATAGATTAGGTGTCTCGGAATAATCGAGAATCGATTAGAGAAGCGTACGATGAAAGAGACAAGCGGTGACGGCGAATG